GGCCGGACAGTTTCTACTAAGGGGGGGGGGGGCAGTTCCAGGGACCCGCCAGCTGGGAGCTGAGCCAGGGGTAGCTCAGCAGGGAAGAGGCCCAAAGGGGAGCTGGCGCCGGCCCTGGGCACTCAGCAGCCTCGCACAAAAGTGAGGGGAAAAAAAACGGGCAAAAACCAACCCGACCCCTCACTGCCGTGGCCCCTGACTGGGGAGACAGACCCCCCCCACATTCCCCCGCACACCAGAGCCTGGGGGGGCAGGAGGTTGGGTGTGCTCCAGCCCTGAAGAGGGGTGTCGGGGGCGGGGCTGGAGCACCTACATGAGCTCCCCAATGCTGAGGGTGCAGTGGCTGGAGCAGGGCCAGGGCTGGCCCCTGCTGGCTCCAAGTGCTCTGCTGAGCAGATCTGGAGGAGCTGGGCTGTGAAGGCGGCTGGGCCCCTCGGGCTGGGCTGGGAACGGCTAATGGCCCTGTGCAGAGATCACAGGGGGCCATAAGCAAGCGTAGGTGGGCATGCGTGCGTGTGGACAGATGGTGGTGGACGTGGGCGGGTAGGAGCAAGCATGGGCCATCACTGACAAGTGTGGGCAGGTGTAGACAGACGTGGGCAGGCGGCGTAGGGAAGCATGGGCAGGCGTGGGTGAGCGTGGATGGATGTGGACAGTCATAAGCAGGCGTGGGTGGGTGTGGGCAGGCATGGGTGGGTGTGTGTGAGTGCAGACAAGCGTGGGGGGGTGTAGACAGATGTGGGCAGGCGTGGGCGGGCTTGGGTAGGCGTGGGTGGGTGCAGACAAGCAAGGGCAGGCGTAGGCAAGCATGGGCAGGCGTGGATGGGCGTGGATGGATGTAGACAGTAATGGGCAGGCATGGGTGGGTGTGGACGAGTGCAGACAAGCGTGGAGGGGTGTAGCCAGATGGGTGGGCGTGGATAGATGTGGACAGTCGTGGGCAGGCGTGGGTGGGTGTGGACGAGTGCAGACAAGCGTGGAGGGGTGTAGCCAGATGGGTGGGCGTGGATAGATGTGGACAGTCGTGGGCAGGCGTGGGTGGGTGTGGACGAGTGCAGACAGGCGTGGAGGGGTGTAGACAGATGGGTGGGCGTGGATAGATGTGGCCAGGCGTGGGCAGCCGTGGGTGGGTGTGGGCAGGCATGGGCAGGAGTGGAGAAGCATAGGCGG